CATGGCTCCGTGTGACCTTTGGCTATTTCTCAAGCTGAAAATGCCGCTAAAAGGAACCCAAATTTAGTCGAGAGAAGACATCATGCGAAATGCGACGGACCGGCTGATAACCATTCCAAAAGATGCGTTCCAGCAGTGTTTCCAGCAATGGCAGGAACGCTGGGAGAAGTGTATACATTACCAAGGAGACTACTTTGAAGGGGATTAGGGTTTTGTACCTCAAAGTCAATAAATTTATTTTTACCGACCAAAGGTCCGATACTTTTTGAACAGACCTTGTACATCACTTACAAATTAATCGATTTCTTCCTTGTTTAATTTAATTAATTAGATTAATTATAAGAAATTGATTAATCGGAAAAATTAATCAATCGATTTCTTCCTTAAACAAGAAAGAATTTGATTAATTAGTAAATGATGTACTTTACAATATTTTAATTCGATTTATGATTGTTACACTAGTTTCTAATTCCAGGAAAATCGATTAATTATTTATATATCGATATCCTTCTCGGGGAAAGAACATATTGTAAAAATTCATGTTACGAAGATATGTTCAACCTATTCAAAATGCACGTGTTTAGACACTGAATCGCGTGTTACGATAATTAAAAATGAAAGCTACTTTGAACCTTTCATGTAATTTTTTTTTCCAGGAGATCATAAACAAACAATTAATTAATAAAATGCAATTATGTTAAGAGTAGCGAAAGGAAAAATGACAGAAAAATAAAACTACAAGTGTTCTCACATTTCTCTTATTATTCTATTTATTTGATTAAAATTTACTAATGTTGAAATTCAATTAATTATCTCGTTATGTTTTGTAATTCTCTTTATTGTAACGTTTATTTCCAGTTAACGTGAATAATAATTGTAACTTGAGATAGTAATAATGAAAGTTAATTTAAATATTAAATGTAATAATATTTCAAAGTTCAAATTGAGCTTCTCGGTGTTAATAATAATAATTAATAAAATAACATTCAAAAATCATTATAATTATTGTTTATTTTTTTATAATTGAAAATATATTATAATAATTTAATTTTATCCTGTTTTATCAGAGGTAAATTTTTAAAAATTAATTTTAATTTTATTGTATTAAACCGATTCTACACAATTCATTTTCTGATCAATAAAATTAAAATGAAAGAAAGAAAAAAAACAATATAATAAATTGCCAGAAAAAAGTTTTGGTAGAAATAATAATGACTAAAAAAGAAAATTTCTTTTATATCACATAAAAGAATGACTATTTCTTGCAAGAATATTTTGTCAAAGTCACATAAAAAAATCCTTACAAGCCACATTTGTCAGTAGAACAAGTATAGAGTTAGAGTCTTTTCATCTGACTAACATTATTCTATACCTGTCAAGGTAAGATAAGTCATTGTACCTTCTTGTATCGGTCCGGGAACACACAGATCATCTTTCACTTGTCGAGCTTCTGCAACCACATGATTGAAAACCTGTGCTTGGGTAGCAGTAAAGCATCTCTTGATGTACTCGTCAACGCAGCTGATGCTCTCCTGCATATCGCTATATAAACAAGAAAAATTATCTTATAAATTCTGCTTTTATGTCTTTCTATAACTTATTTCATCTAAACTTTATCCTACGATAAGTTAACCCAGCTTATATACTCATCAAAATGATTCTGTGGATGCGTAGAAATGAATTTAACACATTTTTCGTTTCGGTTCTTAATCCATAAACATTAAAACTCTTATTTATAGCTTATAAACGACTTAAATTAAATAAATATATTTGCATAAATCAAACTTAATACTCTTTCCGTGCCTGCAATTTATTTAATTTATTACATTAATGTAAATGTTCTTATATATTTTTTTATTGGTATAATTATATTAGTAAACAGTTTTTACATCATATTAAAATATTATGATAATTATTATAAAAAATAAAAATATCTTATTTACAAATACTGAATACATTTATTATATATAGTCAAACATTTTATATTCGAAAGATTAAAGGTTACATTATCGAATTTCTAAGTTTTAATATTTAAATTAGTTTATTATTATTATTATTTTTAAATACATAAATTGCAGAATGATTTATTTTCGAATAACTTAAGTAAAATATATAGATTTTAATCATTTTAGAGAGAATTAAATATTAATTTAATGCATTAACAATATAAATTCCATAAAATAAATCACAATTACAGTTTTTTTTAAACTTGTTCTTAATTTAATTTATTATTTTTTAATAATTAAAATATTCATTATTAAATGTAATAAATGGGATAATTGCATAAATTTTATATGATATATGTAAATAAATAAATTATGTTTATTTACCTTTGTGGATATGTTAATAATCAATATAAGAAAACAAAATAAATAATTTATTTGTTCAAAAAATTATTTATTTATATATAAAATATACATATAATTGTAAAAATTCTAAACAAAATAAACGAATTTCTTTTATTATGTATTACTTTTTATTTCCCATTCCTCTTATATGTGCAAAGAAACATCTCTTCGTCTCGTTAGAGAGAATTTCGAAAATTTTAATACAAAACTCTTCTATCGATAAATCAACAGTTACAACAACTCACTTTAAATTTGAAATGATTATTATTAATTTTTTAAATAATTTAAATTCAAAACACTCAAAACTTTGTTAATTAAACAGAAATTCATTTAGAAAGTTCAGAGAATATTTAATAACTTTAGTTGTGGGAAAACACTCTTTTCTACATCTTTTCAATGATAACAAGCATTCTTAACTTGCTGTTTCTCAGGAAAGTGTATTGCTACGTTGTTACTCTTCATCTCTCAGACACGAAAGCTTACAAAAATACGTTAATTAACTTATACGTCGAACTTATTTCTGCTTGCCAGGATTGATAAACTGGTTTTTAATAGAAAAGAATAACGTGAGTTGTTATTAAGCTTCCTTCTAAAGGAGAAAAGTTGTGAACCTCTAATTTTTTTTTTTACTTTTCTTTTTTTTTACTTTTTAAAGAACGGCTAATGCTAACATCGATCTTGGATCTAGAGCAGATGTTGCTTGTCGTTTCTTTTTGAGTTCAATAGGTAAATCCCAATGGTATCAAGGATGAAGGAAATCCTATGTGAAAGAATTTTTAAGACAGACTTTTATTATTATTATTATTATTTTATTTATTTTTTTATTCGATTCCTATACATTGTTTTCTAAAAAGTTATTCTATCCGTCAAAAACGTTATAGAATATAAATATATATTTTTTTAAATCGTGTTGTTTTTCTTTTCCTTTAACGGGTTATACGAGAAAAAAAAATTGATTCTATCGATAAATTTTTAAATTACTTTATTTAATTTTGATTACGTTTGCTACAGAAACTAATGTATTTAGTAATAATTAATGAATTAAATGTAATTTATGTTTATTTTTACTGGAATTTATCATTATTTATTATAGAGTTTTAAAACTTTATATATATATTTTTTCCTGTTATTGCTAATTATTTAATTAGGGGAGATCGGGGCAAGATCGGCATGTTAAGCTTTACTTAAATTTTGTGTAATAAATACTGCTGTAAACTGAAAAAAAAGCTTTGCATATTGTCTATTGGAATGTTACCTTACTATAGAACTGGTTAAAATCAGTTTGGAAATAAAAATAATTAAAATAATTACAACTTTACAAGAAGAGAGAAATTGACGAAGTTGCCCCGGGTATAGGGGCAAGATCGGCAACTTCTCTCTTTTTGTAAAGTTGTAATTATTTTAATTATTTTTATTAAAGTTGCCCCTGGTATAGGGGCAACAGTAATGGGGCAAGATAGGCACGTATATAAAATTATGTTATTAACAATGTATAAGTTGGAATTCACTATTAAAACAAAGAAATACAAATCCAACACCCATTTAATATTATTACAACGAAATGCAAGTTCAAAGACATATATACATGAATAACAAATGCAAACATGTTTTCATTTATCATCTGTTTGATTTTTATCCTTTGCTTCTAATGTGGCTTTATGTTGCCGATCTTACCCCGCTAGTCATGATTTCGAAACATTAAGTACAACCCTGAGAACAGAATGCCAAGCCACGATCTGGCCACGTGAATAAGTTGAAGTTACATCCTTCTAACAGGAAAAGTAACTTTCGTTATCATGGAATTATAACAAAACCTGCCAATTCAATATAAATGGAAAAAAAATATTATATGGAATTGAACGAAAATGAAAATTTGCTTGATAATTCAACTACGCTTGTTGGAGAACAATAAAAACACTACACTCAACAAGCCACCAATAAAACTCAACTGCCTAACCTATAACCAAAGTCTCCTTTTAATTTGTTTTTTAAAAAAAGCGCTTGACAAACTTGCCCCGCATGCCGAAGTTGCCCCGGTCTCCCCTAATTGATTTTTTTGTTATTAAATTGCACTTATTTTTGATTTTTTGCGCTAAGTAATCTATCTACTTCGTGAATAATCTATTTGTTTACACTATACTAATAAAATCTACATAAAATTTTGACTTTTGTGAATATGAAAGTCACGTAATTTAGTGATTTTGGAAAATTTTTTAATGGTTTTGGAAGATTTTTTATGATTTTGGAAGACAAAATCGTCTAAAAAAATCTATAAAATATTTTCTTAAATTAATAATAATATATAAAATCATACATTTAGCAATTCATAGCTACTGAAAGGTTGTATACTTAATATTTATGGGAAAGATTTGTTCACAAGTATTTAATGACTCTTTATGAGGGTGACTTTATTTATGAGAATTTATATACCGAGGTTTGCCCGTATATTCTTTTATAATACGTTAAAATAATGCAAAAAAAATATTACATACAATAACTTTTGCACACAAGATTAGACCTTATTTTAAATTTGTAAAACTTTAAAATTATAATATTTATAAAAATAGCATAATTATAATAAATCAAAATGTCATAGATCTTTTAATTATTCACAGTAATAATCACAAGATATTTCTCTAAGGATTAGATTCCCTCGTCCTTAAAAATGTCAAGCGTTATAATTATTATAAAGAATACAAAATGTTATCATATGTGAGTGTGATCTGTCATATTTTTATCGTAGAAAATTTATTATATATTAATTCAAAATGATATACTTTTCATGAATTAGTTATTTGTATCTTATAACTTTTAAAATTCTATTCATTCAAAATTAATTATTTAATAAATATATCTAAAAGTTTAGTGTAATAATTTTGAATTTTTTCCGATTATTAATAATTTATTACCGTATTAATTTATTAAATAAGTTATTTATTACGAATAAGTTATTTCACCTTTAAGATTATCTTTGATATTAAAAGTTTTTCTTTCTATTCTACTTAGCTCTTGCATTTGATTCTTTTCCTTCATAAAATCTAATTTTCTACTCCATTCAGCGCTTAAATTCTGTTGGATCATTTCTCCATAATGGAACCAATGCTTCTCGAGCAATTAACTTTTCTAATTGGGATATAGAAGTAAGAATAAAAGAAACATTTAAAACAAGATCCACAAAGTGATCGAAAGCAGGGCTTAGCAACTTCATCCTTGTTCGTAATAACAAAGCTCTTCAATCACAGCTTAACCTCTTATCTTTCAGAACACCTTAGACGTTTAATCACCTTTTCTTCCATTTTGTTTGGTCGTAATGTGGTTAAGTGGCAGAACAATTAAGATAAAAGTGTCAGCATTCGCTAGTCTAAGACAACTCCACTTTGAGAACCTTATTTTTGGCTCCTTCATCCTTTCCTTATAAGAGATCTATAACTGAATTCAACTTCCTGCTAATATAACCCTATAATAGTATGTTCATAAATATACACTGTGCCTCTAACAAAAATTGGATATAGGATACAATGGGTGAATGAAAAGTAGAAGTAAATCTCCAAAGTCAACAGTAGTGAGGTCAGTTTGTTTGTTCAACATTTAACATTTGTTTCTTCTTCTATTTAGTGCAGATGGAAACAGAAAATACAGCCATTTGTCTGTTATTTGCACAAATTATAAACTAAATTAGACATTCGTATTGATTTCAGCATTAAATTTGAATGATACCGATCTTACTCCATTTTCTGTTATTTATCTGTTATTTACAGTTCACTTAAATAACAGATTTAATTTTTTACGTACATTATTATAACATTTATTTTATTATTAACACATCTACTAAATTTCATTTATAAATTATGCTTCTGTGTAATTTAACGTTAATTATTTTTAGTAAACATTTTTAAAAACTAATACCTTCTTTAAAAATTCTCCTCTCTTTATTATTACTCTTTTATTATTTATAATTATATTTTTAAATTAAAAATACATA